AGAGAGAGAGAGAGAGAGAGAGAGAGCACCACCCAGTGGGGTGTGATCACACTGCAATCCCTTCCTTTCCATTTCTCCTCTACTTTGGGATTTGGGACACGCACACGCATGTTCCCAGTGTGATTTTCAAGCCTGAGATTTGAACTGCATGGTTGGCCATGTGGGATCTGGTTCCCTTAACCACTAGGCCATGGCACCAGCCCCCGTATTGTTTATATTAGCTAAAAATGCCAACAGTAGCAGATTAGCTAAACAAAGGTATGTACACTCACACCTCGGACTGTTATGTAGTCATGAAGACTAATGCTGAAAAGTATTATTAAATTACATTCCACGGTGTGGCATATTGATAAATGAAAAAGACGTGTCAGGAAACAGAATCCGACCATGGCATTTTTCTAAAGAAAGGAAAATAACATATGTATGGGAAAATGAGAGAAGATGCTCACTGAGATGTTATCAATGGTTATTATTTCTGGGTGAGGAGATTATAGAGAGATATTTTTCTCCCTCCATTTTCCTTATTTTCCCCCAAGTTTTCCATAATCAACATGTATTACTTTTGTGGAAAGAAAACACAATGAGCGCTTGTTGGTAACTGTTCAGAGCAGGAGGCTCTAAGCCTTGGGAGTTTGGCTAAGGACCAGGATCCCCACAGCTGCACAGGACAGGGTTTCTCCCCTGTGGGCTGGGAAGGGTTGGAGCTTCCCTTGGCTAACCTCTCGGAACCTCCCAAGTGAGAGATGTGGGAGAAAATGATGCAAGCTAGGCCCTGTGCTTGACAGCCCCAGTCTGCTTTCCCTGTACTGACCCCAAACCCATGTTCACGCTCTGCTCTGGTTACCTTCTTCTGTGGCACAGCAGTGGCAATTCGACTGCTGCTCTGAGTCACTGAGAGCCAGGTAGAACAGACCCCCCGACAGTGGGAACCATAAAAGGGGGACCATGGTCCCTGACTTCTCCACTCCCCGTTTTTTGTTTTTTAATAATTATTTAATTTAGTTTATTATTATTATTATTATTTTTAATTTGCTATAGGGCACATGTGCTCATTAGAGAAGGACAGAGAAAGAGGGAGCGAAAATGAGAAAGTGAGAAGCAAGCTGCCAGGTCTGAAACTCGAACCCAGTCAGCCATGTGGGAGTTCAACTCCTTAACTGCCACACCACCTGCTGGCCTCCACTCCCATTTTAAGGAACAGAACATCTCATTTCCTCCGTAATGACAAAATAAACTCCTCTTGGCTATCTTACCAGAGTTTAGCGTTCGGAAAACTGTGTGGGATGAAAACCTTCACGATGTACTTCGGGAGACAGGCTGGTCTTGGAGGGGTTGGAGCACCTGGGAGGGGGACGCAGCAGAGGGCAGGACTCTGTCCTGACGGGGCTTCTTCCACTGTCTTGCCAGAATACGGACGGAGCCTGGAGGATGACATTCGCTCGGACACGTCCTTCATGTTCCAGCGAGTGCTGGTGTCTCTGTCAGCTGTGAGTCACTGCCTTTGTCTCCTGCCTCTGATGGGGGATGGCTTTTCTGAAATGCTCACTCTCTGGCCCTTTTACCACCATTCTTATCCTGTCAGTGCCCCCCGCACCCCAGGCGCTGTTCTTGGGCCTCTCTGTTTATCTTATTTCTCCTAGTAGAGACTCTGGCTCGTCATGTATTCCCATTTGCTCCATTTTAATTCAGTATTTACATATACGTAGTACATGCCAGGTCCCCTATTGTTTTTGTTTTTTTTCTTTTTGCTAAAGGCAGAGGAGAAAGCTTCTACCTATGGCAAATAGTCACACTGAGATCCCTTCTCAGCTTCTCCCTCCTTTCAGGACTTTGAGCACACATCACACATGCCCAGCATGTTTCTCAAGCCTCCGGGTCCAGAATCCAAACCACGGGGTTAGCCATGTGGAATCCAGTGGTCTTTAATATCAGGCCGTGGAGCTGGCCCTCCCCCTATTTTGAAGTTTTTACAATTTTTCTTTTCATCCACAATAGAGAGCACATGTATGGACATCAGAGAGAGAGAAAGAGAGAGAGAAGCAGGGCCTTGTCACATCATGATTCTCTCCTCTTAGCTCAGCTCATTGGGGTCTTGGGCACACACACACATCTGGCATGTTCTCAGGATGACCAGGGGACCATAACCTATGGTTGGCCTCCAACACTGCTGCAGGTCACTACCAACTGTGCCACCAGGCTGGGCTTAGGTCCCCCTGTTACTCAGTACAGTAAGTATTATGAAGGTGACTAAAAGGCAGTTCCTTTAAGGGCTTATATTGTCATAAAGGAACATACCAGGTGTACCAATTGCTATAGGGCATGAAAAGATGAAGTGCCAAATGAGAGGCACATAATAACAGGAAGTTGCAAGGAGAGATTTTGGTAGCAGAAAGAAAGAAAAGCCTTTCTGGCAGAGATGCTGGTCCGGAGAGGACTTGAATACTCTCTAGGATTTCAAGAGGCAGAGATGTGGGTGGTGCATTCCAGGCAGGATGAATAACAAGAACAGGCAAGGAGGCAGAAAACACAGGGTGTGTTCTGGGAACAGCTGGTTGGACAGTTGGAAGGGTAAGGTGGAAGGATGAGCTGGGATTTGATGTGGGAAGAAGCTTACACTTTGGGGAGCAGTAGGGAGCCACCAAAGGTTTAGGAACAATAGATGATGTGAGTGATGTGATTAGAATTCATCTTGAGGAGCACAATAGTGATGTGGAGGATGAACAATGAGGACTGAAGGCGGGAGGCCAGGTAGGACATTCCCTTAGTATTCTAGGTGGTAAATACAGCAGGACTGGGCTAGGGTAGGAGCTGGGTGCCAAAAACAGAGATGATAGAGCCTCATGCCATTTCTTTTTTTCTTTAGCTTTTTCTTTTTCTTTTTTTCTTTCTTCTTCTTTTTCTTTTTTCTTTTTTTTTGAGAGGTTTTTGCTATAAGACACGTGCACTCGCCAGACAGATAGGGAGAGACAGAGAGACAGAAAGCGAGAAATCACCCCCCAGGTGGGATGGCCACGCCGCAATCCCTTCCCCTCCATTCTCCTCTTGGAATCTTGGGCACGCATGCACACGCACCCGGTGGATCCTCACACTATTTCACAGTACTTCCCAACATGTATTTTTTTTTTAATAAGTCTTTTTTTTTTTCTTTTTTTGGAGAGGTTTTTGCTATAGGGTGCATGCGCTCACCAGACAGACAGAGAGAGACATAGAGACAGAAAGCGAGAAATCACCCCCCAGGGGGGATGGTCACGCCGCAATCCCTTCTCCTCCATTCTCCTCTCGGGATCTTGGGCACACACGCACACGTGTCCAGCGTGAGTTTAAGCCACCGGGTCTGGGACTCGAACTGTGGTCGACTACGTGGGAGTCCAGCGACATAGCCATTACACTAACTGCTGGTCCCGATATGTATTTATTTTTTAATGACAGAGAGCACATCACATATACATAAGGGAGAGAGAGTGAGAGAGAACACTTCGCAGGTCTTGTCACACCACCATCCCTTTTCCCCAGCCCTCCAGCTCCTCATGATCTTGAATTCCTGGGCACACGTGGCATGTTTTCAGGATCCAAACCCGCAGCCAGCCTTGTGGCTTCCAGCACTGTAGTCCAGTACACTACGGGCCGTGCCACCAGGCTAGGCTGACGTCCCACTTTATTTTTATCACTGACCTCTTCTTTGTAAGTCAAACGTGTTTCTCACTGCTTTTTAGATGTTTCCTGTGGATACGCTACCATCACCTCGAATCAGCTTCCTAAACAAAATCTGAATCGCTTCCCCCCCCAAATCTGCTCTTCCTGCTG